CGGTTCGGAAAAACAGAGAAATTGTACGAGGAAGAAAACTACTAGTAAAACGCACTGTGGTGGACCACCACACATCTAAATAGTGATGATGGTAATAACATAACGATGAAAATAATAAATAACAGTAAAGAAAGGAATATAATAATTAAGCGAGTTTTTAACAGTAATGTTTCCTGACATAGTTAAATTCTGATTGACAAAAATATTTTCCCATTTTGTGAAAAACTAGAAAGGATATATTTTAAAGGTGTGAAAAATGAAATAAGTAATGTGTGAATACGAATGAATGAGTTGCTAAGTTTCGTCAATATTGAACTGATCATCATCTTTCACTGGATCATAGTGTGAACTTAGTTTTCCTCCGTAACAATTGTTGGAGTTCTTTCAAATTACTTAAGAGTAGACCTCAAAGTTGTGCACATAATTCAGGTACACTTTAACCTTGATATAATACGATAAAAAGGTTTATGTACCAATTAAATGAAATTAATGTAATGAAAATGCAATGTAATACCCAAATAAATGGGGAATATATATATAAAATAAAAAAAAAATTACTGTCTATTATTCATTTTATTTTCAAATATTTTTAATAGCTCTCTAAACAAAACTAGCAGGTCTTGTTATTTTGTACATAATAAAATATCTCATTATTTACAAATAGTTTTGTATAAATTATGTAAATATGTTGAACTATATGAAATCTAGCTTTAAGCTTATAAATTCCCAAATCTTATATTAAATATTGCCGTATAAATGACAAGCAATAATGCCACATACTGGTTATTGACAATAGCCATCTGAGAGACGATGTAATAAACTGTTCCAGTTGTTTCAATAAAGCGCCTGTAATCGTTTATAACATCTAAATGAAGTAATTTTTGGGGAAAATGACCGCCTTGTGATATATATATTGTATTTAATACAACGTTTTAATTATTATTTCGGTTCAAGGCCTTATAACCAAAGCCACAATAAAAAAAACATAATAGGTGTATCTTTAATTCAAAAAAGTGTATGATTCTAAGAAACGTTGAAGAACTGACGATGGCTTGACGATTGAATATTGATAATTGAAGAACCAAGTACAGAAGATTTATCCACAAATTTGGATGCTTGGCGGTCCATCGTTCTTTTTTTACCAATGTGTTTTTTTATAACTTTCTTCCTCGCGTGACTTCTTTTTAGAATCGGTTACCACCAGCGATTTTTCCGGGGTGATATGGCTTAGAATGTTGGATTGCAATCTGTGTATGGAAGAGAGAAATGCACTGCTGGAAACCAGCAACGGAAAGAAACTGGACTATTATAATTCCGGAGCCTAGGGTGTTGAAGCATAATGCAAGCACGTTCGCAGAAGCTTGTTCAAAGTAGGGTTGAGAGTGCGCACATATTTCATCATTGAAGAATAGGTAGCCACTTTTTGAAATGAAAAAAATAACATTTATTTGCAAACATATGATATTTGACAGGTTGTTAAATATTTTAATCGTTAATATACTTTTCGGCAAAAATTTGATATAAAAATTACAAACGCAAATATAATTTAAATAGAACACATCATTATAATATAATTGTGCTTCCATTTATATGGGTGAAAATCATTTAAATTGACCATTGTGACAAAAATGAAACAAAATGAAAATGTAACAAAAATGAAACCCGTAACAAAAAAACAACAAAAACGAAATATTAGGGTGTTTTCACAATACACACTGGTTATCACTTAGCAACACGAACATACACGCCCATTGGCAGCTGGCGAAATTCTGAGTTCCTCTAAGGATTACTATTAATTTATTAATCACGTACAAGATTTATGAAATAAACCACTTTATAATGCTTTTATTATTTTCTTTTATTAACTAAAGGTGATCATAAGAAACATTGTATCTCTTATAAACCTATTTTTTTTCGGGACAGTAAAAAAAGAGATCAAATACTTCAACATAATCAGTTACATTTTGAGAATATTATTCCTAAATAAAATTATCATAAGCAAATTAATGATGCAAAAAGTAGACATTTGTCAACAGCATTCATTCTTTTGGTTACAGACTTGGGAAAAAAGGGTAAAAAATTTACAATCTATTTCTATATTAACTCTTTGCTAACACAATCGTATGCAGACATTATTAAGTTTTATTTGCGCAGTATTGAAGCTACATACATCAAAGCTATGATGAATTTTTAATAATAACCTCATTTAAAAAAATAATATTAAGGATATCAAAATAATTGCAATAGGAACTTAAAATATCCAGACATTATATCTATTTACTGTCGTCATGAACATAATGAAAACAATTTTTATTGAAATAATAACAGTTTAAAGAACTATAGAGGTATCAAAAACTATTTAACAAAATAACAATATGAAACACTATTCACTTTCACTTGTAATGGTAACCGCTCATATTTAAATACATCCATAAGGGATAATACCACCTTGATTAAAACACCTAAAAGAAAACTTATAAGGAAACCAAGGGTCACCAAAGGATTAATGCGGTGTATGAAAAACAGGGACAACCTTTACAAGAAATTAAAAAAAGGACCCTGAAAATGAAACTCTCAAACTAACTTACAAACGCTACCGGAATTACTGTAACTCTCTTCTTAAAAAGGCGAAAAGAGATTATGAGAAACAAGAGATCGAGAAGACGAAATATAATAAAAAAAGCTGTGGGAAGCCATAAAAAATCTGACCGGCTCCAATAGGGTAGTAGAGTCCTGTCTTATCTCTCCCGAAAATCCGAAAAAAAAGTATTAACGACATCAACTATTTCTTCGCTAATATTGGACGAAACCTAGCTGAAGACATTATATTACGTGCTGGACACAGAAAATTTACTGAACCTGACGTCTTGTATCCATCCCCCATCAATTCATTTGTCATGCTACCTACGGATGAGGATGAAATTTTCCAGCTGATCCAAGGTTTAAGAGACAACTGTGCAGTAGGGCTCGACCAGATTTCTAGCATAATACTCCAGAGATATATACACATCCTTACCCCCCCTATTACACATATATGCAACCTGTCTTTGTCTACGGGAATCTTTCCCTCAGCATTCAAAACAGCGCTCATCAAACCCATTCACAAAAGTGGTGAGAGGGACTGTGTCAATAACTACAGGCCAATCTCCATCTTACCCACACTGTCTAAAATCTTGGAGCGCCTAATAAATAAGCGTTTAATCAATTTCCTGGAGGGAAATAATCTCCTTTCACGAGCGCAATTCGGATTTCGGCAAGGCAAGTCAACAAATAATGCGGTACATGAGCTTGTTAACTCAGTCATAACCAACTTGGATGAAAGAAGAAAATGCCTAACAATATTTCTCGATCTAGCGAAAGCATTTAACACAGTCCCAATCCCACACCTCATAACCAAGCTGGAAAAAATCGGTGTGAGAGGCTTACCTCTGCAGTTAATATCAAACTTTCTGAGTAGAAGAAAGCAGAGAGTTGGAATAGAGAATGCGATAAGTGAAGAGTTAATTGTCAAATTTGGTCTGCCCCAAGGTAGCATACTCAGCCCAACGCTGTTCTTGATATATGTCAACGATTTATGCCAGCTTCAGCTACACAATGGAAAAATAATCTCATTTGCCGACGATATTGCACTATTCTTCAGTGGTAATAGTTGGAGGGAGGTTTTTGATTTTGCACAAAGAGGTTTTACTAAGTGCTGCCTCTGGTTACAAAAAGAATGTGTTGACACTAAACACTGATAAAACAAAATACATAACCTTCACACTTAGGCCGAACCAAAGTCCCCCCTTACTCCCTCTCCATCACAGCCCATGTTTGCAATTCTGAGCCAACTATTTGCAATTGTCCCGCTATTCAAAGAACAGACAAAATCAAATACCTCGGAATTATAATAGACCAAACTCTGACTTTCAAGCCACATATTGAGATACTTGTCACTAGGTTACGAAAGCTCATTTACATCTTCAAATCTCTTAAACACGTAGCAGACTGCCGAATCATCAAGATGGTCTACCACGCTCTATGCCAATCACTTGTAGATTACTGCATCAGCTCATGGGGTGGTGCGGCTAAAACCCACCTAATTGAGGTTGAAAGAGCCCAACGGGCCATCCTAAAAGTCTGTGCAGGTCTCCCGTTCTGCTTTCCTACAGTGGAACTCTACAGAAAGTGGGACGTTCTAACAGTGAGACAGTCTTTCATCGTACAAACTGTCCTAATGAAACACTCTCAATGTAAATACGATCCGGAGCTTCTAAAAGACAAACGCAGGAAAGGTTCTGTCTGTCGAACCCAATCCTTCCATTCTGCCACCTCACACAATTTCTTCTGTTTCCTAGGACCATACATGTATAATAAACTGAACAATATCCTAAACTTCTATCCCTTACCTAAATCGAGCTGCAAATCCGTTCTTACAAAATATCTGAAAACTTTAGACTATGAAGCGACCGAAAACCTACTAAAGTCGCCCATATAATTATATTAATGTCGTCGAAGTCTTCACACTTTCTTCTCCTTATTTGGGTTTAAATGCAATTATATGTTAGTCCTAACTCACGCAACAGCAGGCACGTCCACAATCACTCACACACACTAACTAACACACACATTCCCACATACAAACACACACACCCACACACACACACACATGCACACACAAAAGGCACGCGCCTGCACTAGCTCACACGCACAACTACACTTTTCATAGTACACACACTTATTGATGTGAAATTTGTAATTACTGCAGTTCATTTTAGTTACTTAATTATAATCTCCTTTCTGATTTGTATTCCTCAGATTGTTGCTTTATACGCGGTGGAGCCCTGGTGACCTGTAATACAGGTTCTTTAAACCTACATCAGGCACCAGTCTCTCACAAGTTAGGTACCTGTCTGGCACTTTTTTAAACACTTAGCATTAAGAATGCCTATTGTGAAGAGAGAATAAACGCATTCATTCATTCATTCATTCATTCATTCGCTTGAACTATAAAAAAATTTTTACTTTAATGATACAGAATTAGTTGTTGAACCTTCAAGAATTTCAGGAAAATCTACTTTGAGGTCACAAGAAGACACATTTTGCCGCTTTGTATTGCTGATCATTTTCCTTAAATCACTAATTGCATAGTTTATTTTAACATCGGATAATATAGTCACAGCTCGCGCATTTTTTATATTATTCCAGTTATTTTTATGCTGATGATCGACATTTTCTTTATTTGTCACGGCGGCATAGGTATGGTCTGCAACCACAGGCGTCGTAATTTGCGTTGGATTGCTCCGCACTTTACGCTTAGAAGTTTTAGTAGTACCAATAGTAAGTGGCAAATCGAAAATATCTGAGGAGTCTGAATCACAGTCAACAGCACCAAAAATATCTATTGGTACAGTTGGTATATTTTTTGAAGAAACCGGTGGTGTTTTATTCTTGGACTTGGAGATAGCAGCAGACATGTTGGTAGTATGTGCTGTTCTTTTAAACGGTAAAGGCAGACAGTCATCTGAATCGGATGTTAGCCGAGTTCGCTTTCTGGGGCGAGATTTTAGCAGACAATGTCTTTTAATGTTGAAACAGTCGCAAAAACCTCTCATGCTTGAGCCGTTACAAAAACAACTTAAAACTCGGTAATTTATTTCATTAGAGTGGTTTTCTGTTTCGACTTGTATTTGGTGAATCTTCATTGTTTTAGGAACAGGCACTAAGCTTTAGAAAGCTGTTTGATTTTTACTTTTTATCTCAATAATATCCGACTCATCAACACAAAAAAGATTGACAGTAGTATTTTCTTTCAGTAGAGAGTATGCTGTTGAGGTGTCTGAAACGTCCATTCCATGGGATACTTTAGCATACAAAAAGTCGCTTGATGACTCCTCCTATACCATCAGCAGCACTTTTCCCATGATAAGACTCTGAAAAGTTCCAAGTCCCTTTTTCAAAATTCAAGTCCTCAAGATATAATTTATACAGATAAAAATTCTTTTTTCTGTTTATACTGAGTGGCGGGGCCATCCGAAAATACGCGTACAGTATTAATTTGCGGAAATTTTTTCTTGATGTCAATCAAAATTGGTCTCAGATGTGTCCATATTGCTGCGGGTGAATGATCTGTTCAGTCAGATAGTGTGCAATATGCGCGAGGTTTTGAACTTTTAACGTATATGACACTTGTGTGTAATGATATTTGATTTTGCGTCCCAAAGCGGGCTGACTGTATTTGCCGATGCATTTTACATGCGTAATTTTCAGAAAAGTCGCAGTGAATCATAACCTCGTTGTGTTGAAGACTGCTTTTGAGATTTCTGTATACGTTATATTGGTGCCAAATATTAAAATAATGCTCTTTAAACTTTGTAAGTTTTTTTTCAAAAAAGATTTATAAGAATCTCCAGCTTTTCTGTTTTTGATTCAGTTACCACTTTCTTAGTTTTCTTAGTCTCATCATTTTTTTCATACTCAACGTCTTTCATGATTCACTCTACCCAGGTAACGTTGTCATATTTTTTAGCTTTAGTGAAATTGTAGGTTGGAGACGTCGTTTTGCAAATATTACATTCAGAATACATACATTCTTTTGATTTTGTGTCGCATACTGTTTCTTCCAATATATTTATTAATTTCATACCCGGATCAAAGATCTTCAGCTTTTTTAGTGCCATAAATTTGAACTCAAAGTTTGCATGAATTTTGCAAACACATGTTTCACGATTTGACAGTCGAGGTGTAACTCTACATAAAAAGGTCTGTGTGTACGAAAAGTGGCAATAGACACGTTAATACCAGTATCTTCTCTAAATTTTTTACGTAAATTTGTCATGCTGTCAAGAAGAAACCGTTTCTGACGTTTCTGTTTTTTAAAGTCTTAGTTTCTTTCTTTCCCGCCGTAGCTTGGCTTATATCATCACGCAGGTAAAAGTTCAGATTTTTTTTTCGCTAATTCACTGTTTCTCCTGGAGCCAAATTTTGCATAATTGCGGATTCTACTTTTTAAACCGATGACCCATCTCAATCGCGAATGCATTCTATACTTTCTCACAATCGGTGATGTAAAAATATTCCTTAAAATCTTCTTCGCCTTTTTGTTATTCTTGTATTCTTGCTTTATTGATTTAGTTATAACGAGGTTTTCTAGACGAACTTTTTTAATTTTCATTTTATCTTCGTTTGAAGGAGTAGTCATAGTTTTGACGACGAAATTTGGCGTTTGAGGCTTTGCGTGAATTATAAGATTTTCCTGCTCTGAGGGAGACATCTAACAATTAAAAAGGATTTTTTTGTCGATAGATTTTCTTTTTTTAGTGCTTGTATTTGTTTTCTTTGTGTTTGAATATACTGAGTAAGAGGCGTTACGACTAGTAAACATTAGCTCCCATATTTTTGATTAATTTAATTAGTAAAAGTGATTGTTAAGTGTATCTAGCATAAGAAATGTGTAAAGTGTCGGCCAAATAACGTGTGCAATTGTTATTTCTAAAAAATAGTAAAAAATTGAGTGGAAAATTGATAAAAATATTCTATTATCAGTGTTTTTGGAAAACAATCCAAGAAACAACAAATATTCGCAAGTATACAAATAAACTTTAGTAAAGTAACTATTCTTTCTACCTAGTAATTAAAATATAATCTATAAAGTTGCAAAAGGTTGCAAAAGAATAGTAAAAATTAAAATTTAAAAACTAATACACAAATATGACGGTTAACATTATTTGAATTACATGCGGTGTTATATAACATTATCAACCGTGTGTCGAGGTGATAGTGACTTTATTGTTTCATGCCATCTAGCGTCATACATAAGATTAATGATCTATAAACTCTTTGTGATGTGTTGTTTTTTTTTGGTTAAAGTGACATCTATTACTAGCAACAATAGTCAGTTACATGAAAGCGTATATACAAACTCATAATTTCGTCAAGAGTAAGAAGGTGTTCGCGGCGTATTGGTACATTCGTCGCATTATAGCATATAGTCAAGAGTTCGGGCATTCAAGTCCCTGTAACTCCCCCCACTCGAGAATTATTTTTTTTAAATTATTTTAATGAGCAAACGACAATAAAATATCATTTCAAAATATTACAATAAAATATCACTTCAAAATGTCACTAGTATGTTTTAAATGCAAAAATAAAATATTGGATAAGGATAATTTAACTTGTTCACTATGCAAAGAAAAATTTCATTTAACTTGCACCATAGTTTCTGAAAAAAGATTTCGCTGGATGTCAATAGAAACCAAAAATGCCTGGAAGTGTACAACTTGTACACAGAAAAAAAAATAAGACAAAAAATAGAAATATGTCATCAGAAAAATCTCCTAATTTGGACAGCAGTATACCTAGCTGTCACGAAAGGGCAAATGATAATATAACATTGCGAAAAAAACCCAATCCCCCTATAAGCGATAGCAGCCCGCAATCAATTTCCCACATTGACGACTTAGGTGAAACGTTGATTTCTGTAGACGCCGCTTTAAATCGTAGCTGCCCCAAAAATAACTATTTAGCAATGGAGGATTTGGAGGAAATGAAGATCAAACTACAAAATTTGGAAACAAAGCTCGAAAGTGCTGACCTGGAAGTGGAAAGATTGTTATTAGAAAACAATTCATTGAAAGAGGAAATATCAAAAAGAGATGCAAAAATAAACCAATTATCTCGCATCTGTCGCTCAACTACAAAAAAAGAAGGTCGTAAGTCCCTCCCAGAACAATACCTGCGAAAATAATATAAAGAAATATACTACTAATGTATCATTTAGTACTCCCAAAGCAAGTGCCCCATCAACGATAACAAATATAGCATTGTGTCACAGCCCCAGTGAGACTAATGAAAGCAAGCGGCAAAATAATAATAATAATAATAATATTTAACAGTATGAACAAAACACCATTACGCGACGTAACAAGCCAACAAGAGAACACATTAAATAATTCTAAAATATCTCAAGAGAACAAAAAGAAGATATGTATGCTAAGTACTAAGAAGTTTACTAAAACAAGATCCATCGCGCAACGATTTTTGCATGGAGATTTTGATATCTGCCATTATCTTCTGACTGAATACGGAATAAAACCACTTATGATGGGACTAAAGACCAAACTTATGGATTATACAATGGAAGACTACTGCATATTACTAATAGGTGATCAAGATTTCAAATCCACTATAAATTACTTTGAATTAATAACATATATTCGACATACTTTATCAGAAATTACACACACAAACATCATTTTGTGTCTACCTACCTTTAGATACTGTAGATTCCGAAATTTATTTAACTGGCGAGTAGAAGTTTTTAATAATCTTACTACATCTGGATGTAATGACACATGAGTATGCACACCTTATTGATTCCAACCTGAATCTAGAATATGATTATACGATGTTTAAAAAACACACAGGTATCATAAATAACTACGGAATGCAAACCATATTCAAAGACATTAATGCACTTATGTGTGAAATTGAAGATTATGGTTATAATAAAATATTAGAACCCATGACAGAATTGCAGAATGATCAAAATGAACCAATACCTGCCTCGCCACCTCTAAAAAATATGTTTTTTCGATAATAAAATAAGGATTATTTACCAAAACATACAAAGTTTTAATAACAAACGGCATTTGTTGGAAGCTTGGACAGATGAAGATAAAAATGTACACGCTATATGTCTATCTGAAACCTGGATCAGTGCTCCAAAACTTGACCTACTCAAAGTACAGGGTTATATGCTGGCATCCCATTTCAGTCGATCTAATTCAGTAGGAGGAGGTGTTTGTATACTAGTTAAAGATGATATAGATTATATTGAACGAAACGATTTAAACGCTATGTCCATAGAACCTATAATTGAAATATGTGGAATAGAAATACCAGTTTCAAATTTATTAGTCATAAATGTATACTGGCCAAATAGTAACAGAATGCCTGATACCTTTTACAGTGTATTAGAAAAGCTCTTACAACGAATTCAGCAAAAACAAATTCTAAAACAAACGTTGTAATAGGTGGAGACTTTAACGTAGATGTGTTAAAACAAAGTATATCGACTGTAAGACTTTTAAATTTAATGCGTAGTTATAATTTCTATCAACATGTTCAAGAACCAACGAGGGTAACAGAGACTACATCCTCATGCCTAGATTTAACATTCACAAATTTTGATGTCGAACAAGTCGTAATTAATGTTGTAGAGTTGAGTCTCTCTGACCACAAAGGAGTTATAGTAAATATACCAATAAAAGAAAGAAACATACTCGTGCGTAATACGTGGATTCTAGAAAAAAGAATCTTTAGTGAAAAAAATATCCAACATTTCAAAGCTAAATTAAGAGAAGTAAACTTTAGCAAAATAATTACTATTGATAAAAACATTAATGAAAATTATAACTCATTTTGTAATAAAATTAATCATATATTAAATGAAACTATACCAAAAATTCTCATAAAAATAAGAAGCATAAAGAAAAAGCCATGGTTAACCAATGGAATCAAAACGTCGTGCAAAAATAAAAGACTCTTAAAAAAATATTATCTCAAACAAAAAATCCAGTACTAAACAAGTATTATAAAAATTACTCAAAAATAC